GTACGTGTGGTCTCACATATCTTTCAGCACAGGTACTCTCACCACTTTCTCTGTGATTTTGACATCGTGGGTGAAATTTCTCATTCCTGAAAGACAAATTAGACACCAGCCCAGTATAGGGAAGTATAGTGTAGTGCCCCCCACCCCCCCACTTGGTGGTGAGAAAACCAAACTAAACCTACTGCTACTGGGTTGATTCCAACACAGTGACCCTATAGGGCAGGGTAGAACTTACCCCTTGGGGTTTCCAAGGTAGACTGCTAGTCTTTCTCCTGAAGAGCAGCCAGTAGATTTGAACTGCTTACCTTTCTGTTAGCAGCCAAGCACTTAACCGTTGTGCCACCAGGGCTCCTCTTGGTGGTGAGTGTTGAGTGAATATTAAAGGTGCTGTACTTGATTAATGGGGATGAAACTTTTTTTGGGGGGGAGCAGGGAGGCCCTCACACTGCTTATTGAAACCCATAAGAGAAGACACAAAATTGGTGGTTTTAAAATGTGTTCTGCAGACTTGGATCTAGATGTTCCTAAACAATCAATTTTTAACTGCTTAAACGATTGCTAATACATTGGGAGACCACTAACTGGTTGTTCTCGGAAGGAAGGTTGGGCAGTCTACTTCCGTAGTGACACTGCCTCGGAAACCCAAGGAGGGATTGCTGTGAGTCGGGGCCGACTCGACAGCACATCACAACAACAACAACAACAACAACTGGTTGTTCAGCCCAGGAATGCACATTTGCCACCCATCTCCATGCACACCTGCAGGCTGTTCACATGGCTACTGGGGGCTGTATACAGGCTCAGCATGTGCATTCAGGCCTATGCATGTCTGCTGTCAGACATATGTGCCATTTGATAGATGAGAACATGACTCGCATGTTGACAGATCAAGATTTTCTTGAAATTATGCCACCCAAACAAAACAAAACAGAAAAAAATTAGAAACCAAGACTCAAAGATCATTGAGTTTCCTTAGCTAAATTAGACTCTGATTTTCAATTTCAATTGGTTTTAAGTCTAATTATTCTCATCGACTTTAAAATTAATTAGGCATTGTTAAAATTATCATGTATAAAATTGTATCAGTGGTTCTCAAGCCAGGATGGTTTTGCCTCCCAGGAGACATTTGGCAATGCCTGGAGACTTTTGGTTCTCACCACGAGCGTAGTGCCGAAGGCACTTGACTGCTAACCAGAAGGCTGGCAGTTCAAACCCACCAGTCCTCCTCGGAAAGAAGGTTGGGCAGTCTACTTCTGTAGAGATACTGCCTTGGAAACCCAAGGAGGGGTCGCTGTGAGTCTGGTCTGACTCGACAGCACATAACAACAACAACAACAACCATTGTGTGTGAGTGGAGCTGCTCCAAGTGGGTAGAGGCCAGGGATATTGTTAACAGGGCTTGGAACTGGATCATTATAGTTTGACCCCCTGCTGAGAATTTGCATTTCCACCCCAAATACACTGACTCAGAATCTACTTTTTAACAAGATCCCCACCCAGGTGATTCTTGCAGATCTTGTTAAAATGTAGATTCTGATTCAGTATAGCTGGGGTAGAACTGGAATGAACCAGTTTGAACCCTGGTTCGAAATCACCAGCCGCTCTGCAGGAAAAAGATGAAGCAGTCTGTTTCTGTAAAGATTCCAAAACCAAAGTCAGTGCCATTGAGTCAATTCCAACTCATAGCAGCCCCCACTGGGTTTCTGAGGTTATAAATCTTTACAGAAGTAGATTGCCCCATCTTCCTTCTGCAGAGCATCTGGTGGGTTTGAACTGCTGACCTTCTGGTTAACAGCCAAATGCCATATCCACTACAACACCAGAGCTCCTTTCTGTAAAAATGGCTGTTCTACTCTGTCCCATAGCATCGCCAAGAGTCAAAATCAACTCATAGGCAGTGGGTTTGGGTTTTGGGTTTGGTAGGTTTAGAGAAGAGCTAGGGAGAAAGAGAGAGGGTTGAGACCTGACTTACAGTGAATGTTGAAGGGCTTTGGAAGGACATGGCTTCTCCAGAGAGACCCAGAAAGGGAAGCATTGAAAAAGGACTGAGCTAGATCTTTGTGATAGGGCTGGAGCTGAAGCTCACGGCTAAGAGTAGGGTGTAACAACTAGCTGACTGAGAGACTGCAGTGGCCTCAAACTCCTGCCAGATTAACTGTAGAAAATGAGACTGGTGTTAGGAGTAATTAAAAAAAATTGGAAATGGATATTGGAAATGGTTGCCCAACATGGTGAATATAATTAATGTCACAGAATTGTAGATATAAGAATGGTTGATGGCAGAGTTTATATATTTCACCACAATGAAGTTTTTTTTTTTAAATTAAATATAGGCATTGGGCCAAAAAAAAAAAAAAGTAGTAGACACCTGTAACTTCCCTATCTGTCAAATACTAATAGCAACAACACACTATTTATAATATTTATTATATATAGCCACTGTTTTAGCACTTGGCACAATATGCCTCATATATTCCTCAGAACAACTCATGAGGTAAGTAATACTATTATACCCATTTTACAGATGGGGAGACTGAGCTACAGTAACTTGCCCACAGCTTCACAGATGGTAGGTAGATAAGTCAGGATTTGAAGCCAGGAGTTCAGGGCTATAGATTCTGTGCTCTGATACTACCTTTCCTGATAACCTGCTCCAGTTTGATTTAAAAAAAATAAAAATTAATTAATTAAGGTTTTGAGTATTTGAATGGATTCTGTGTTTATGGTATGTGAAATTGACTGTGATGGTGAGAGAGGGAAGAAGTTAGGACCTTCTCTCACCTCCAGACTACCTCCTTTCCTTGCTTGATTACTTTCCTGAAAGTGGCAGAAGAGAGTCACACCAATGTACAGTCAATGTTCAGCAGGAAACAGAAACCATCTTTGATTATTCAGGCAGAGAGGCTTTAATGTGAAGGATTGATTATGAAGATGTTGAAAGGACTGAAGATGCTGAAGTGGGAAGGAAGTGTTACCCAGAGATAGGAAGCTGCTTTGCCCCATGGACTGAGTTTGTACTTGTCACAAAGCTGCTGGAGGTGGCAACACTTTTGCCAGATAGAAACCTAGGATCCTGGATGCCCCTTGTGGATGCTAGAGCTGTGTTCACATGCAAGCACCCCTGTGGCCTGTTACTGCTGTGACCCCTGTCAGAGACAACACCAAGTTGGGAGTAGAAAGCCTTCTTCTTTCCTCTTCTAGTCTTTCACCAGCATGCCCCAGGGTCAGAACTTAATAGAAAAACAGCTAACAAGAGTGAGTCTGGGAGTTTACAGGCTTATAGCCCCAGTGGCAGTGAAGGAGGGGAACGAGGGGCAGAAGAGAGTTAAGAGCATTATGACATTATGCAATACACCAATAGCAGGCAGAGGGGAAGCCAGGGCTTTCTCTGTTACTCTCACCACGGTCAGCTTTGTTGTGAGGCCCACTTTGGTGTGGCTTGAGTGTCATTCTTGTCATATAGGTACAGGCATCTTGGAAACTTTATATATGCAGGGTCACTATGAGTCAGAATTAACTTGATGGCACCTACCAACAGCAACTACTGTTAATAAAAAGCAAAGTTATATCCTAACTAATTCAAGTACCAATTGCTATTATGATAAATGTATATATTAATTTTAGAACTAATACCTTTATTTAATAGTCTTTCAGCCAGGAGGAAGTTGTATCTCGTTATTCACTTTATTTCCTCCATTAAGGCTATGCCATTTTCTTTGGAGGAAGAAAAATCTTGTATCTCAAACTAAACGGATACTCAAGTATTTATTTATTTATTTTTTACTGTAAACAGTCTCTCTCTCTACTCCAATTAGATGATCTTATTGCACAGTACTAGTGCATAATAATTTTATAGCTATTTATCATTCTATTTAAGTAATTTCAAAAAGTAGTGTCAAGGACTTCAGTATATCTGGCCTAAAGAAGCTACTGAATTCTTAAAGGAGAAGTGAGAACAATTGAGACCCCACAGGTTTTTAAGCCCCACAACTCTGGTTCCTTGATGTATGGAAATAAAGGAGAATAGGTAATATGCCAAGGGAGGTTGGGAAATGTAGTCTTTATTCTGGGAGGCCATGTGCCCAGCTAAAAATCCAAAGTTCTGTTAAGTAAAGGGAGTCCCTGGGTGGTGCAAATGATTAATACTCTCTGCTGCTAACCAAAAGGTTGGTGGTTCAAGTCCACCCAGAGGTGCCTTGAAAGAAAAGTATGACAATCTATTTCTGAAAAATCAGTCACTGAAAACCCTGTGGAGCACAGTTTTATTCTGACACACATGGAGTTGCCGTGAGGCCAAATTTACTCAATGACAGCTGGTTGTTTAGTTGAGAAGAAGGACAAAACCGGTATAGGGGAAACATACCAATTTCTTCTTCAGTACCCCTTGGAATATTATTTAGAACTTTACAAATTGAGGTTGAAAGTAGTTCAAAAGAATAAATAGACAAGCATACCCGAGAACACACATTCTTTAAAGAAATATTTCTTTAAAACTTTCTTTTTATATTGATAAGATTGTAGATTCATATGCAGTTGTAAGAAATAATACAGAGAGATCCCCTGTACCCTTCACTTAGTTTCCCTCCATGTTAATAACATCTTGGAAAACTAGTACAGTATCACAACTAGGATATTGACATAGACACAGTAGGATACTAAAATTTTCATCGCCACAAAGTTCCTTGAAGTTGCCCTTTTATAGCCACACCTGCCTCCACTTTCTCCCCAACCCTTAACAACCACTGATCTGTTCTCCATCTCTATAATTTTGTCATTTCAGGAATGTTATATAAATGGAATCATGTAATACGTGACCTTTTACTGTTGGCTGTTTTCACTCAGCATAATTCCCTTGAGATTCATCCAGATCATTTTGTATGTCAATGTTCATTTCTTTTTATTGCCAAGTAGTATTCCATGATACAGATGTACCACACAAAGGCCATTTTTAAAAACATAGCGTGGCTCTTCTTGACCCTGTCTTCCTCCCTTCTCCACAGCAATGCCAAGTGAGTATAACTGTGTGAAACTGAGAAGTGATTGCTCAAGACCTTCCCTGCAATGGTACACCCGAGCTCAGAACAAGATGAGAAGACCTAACTTGTTGTTCAAAAACATTCTCAAGTAAGTCCAGCCCCTCAGGCCATAAGCATCCCCTGATTTTGGATGAACTGTGTAGAACTGGGAGAAAAATTCAATGAGAGCCCTTTAAAGATGGCTGATAGGCATACTTGGTCAAGGAGACTAAAGTAACAGGGACCACTTAAAAGCACATCTGAGTAAAGATTCAGTGTGCTGGTGGAATGGGTTTATGCATCAAGCTGTGTTGGATAGTAGCGCAGGCCCAGTCAGGAAGAGGTTCAGGCTCTGATCCCACGCTCAGAGGCCCAAGAGAGCAGCTCTTACAATATGCTGCTCTTTGTGCCTTATTTAACAAAAGAGGGCTTTTTCCCTTAGGTATTTTAAATCAATCTAAAATATAGTTAATTAAAGTTCCCTAAAGGCACTTGATTGAAAGATTTACAGCCTTGGAAACCCTACGGGGCAGGCAGTACTATTTGGTCCTTTAGGGTTGCTATGAGTCAGAATCGGCCTGATGGCAGTAGGTTTGGTTTTTTTTTTTTTTTTGGTTTTAAAGGCACTTGAATGACACCAAACAATAAATATTAAAAAGGATGACAGGTGTTTCACTCAGGTTACCGTCATCTGGAGTCCCTGGTTGGTGCAAATTGTTAACACTCAGCTGCTAACCAAATGGCTGGGGGGTTTGAATCCACCCAGTGGCACCTCAGAAGAAGGTCCTGGTGATCGACTTTGAAAAAATGAGCCATTGAGAAACCTATGGAGCAGTTCTGCTCTAGGACATCTGGGGTCACCACAGCTCATTGTGGACTTGATGGCAGCTGGCTGGTTGGTTGGTACCCTTATATCCTAATAAGCAGTCAAGTTAGTAGAGGAGGAACTTTTTTGGTTTCATTTGGTACCAGCTGCCTAAAGCACTTGACAGCTAACCAGAAGGCTGGCAATTCAAACCCACCAGCCACTCCTCGGAAGGAAGGTTGGGCAATCTACTTCCGTAGTGATACTGCCTCAGCAACCCAATGAGGGGTCGCTATGAGTCGGGGCCGACTCAACGGCACACAACAACAAACCAAATTGAAAATTACCCTTTTTTCATGCCTGAAGATAAAAATCCAACCTTGAAATCTAGTCTCCCATCTCACTTTACTACTTTAGGAGGTGCAAGAGAAAAATGAGGAAGGAAATCGATGTTAATAGGCGCTTACGTTACTTTCCATCTTGTAACCACACTACAGTCTGATGGATGCTATAGATACTGGGCCTACTTGTAGCACTCTTTCTTCTATTCTTTTTTTTTTTTTTAAATAATCTCATTAAGGGGATTATTCTACACACTGAGTATACTTTTCTGAGGGTTAGGGAAAGGACTGGGAAATACCTTCACAAAATTTAAAATTCAAAGGATATTAAAGGCAACTCAGTGAACCATCTTCTAACCCTACTCCCCACATTTCCCCTCCTCCTCAAGGGTAACCAATGTTACCAGTTTCTTATGTATATAAAAAATAGTGTATGGGTGTGTTCATACCCTCCTCCTTTTTTTATCCCCACACAGATCCTGTTCTCTTCACATTGTACTCAATACCAGGGAAAAATTAAGATGATTGTCCAGGTTTTCGTGCAGAGACTATTGAAATGAGAAGTCTTGAAAACACTTCTTAATAACACTTCCTTGTATCATCCCCCTCAAATATTAATATTTAGTATCTGTTACATATAGTATACTAGACTAGATGCTGTATTTTTTTTTTTTAAACTACCCCTTCCTCAGAAAATATATTATTTGCCCCTTAAGATTATTCCTTAACTTTGTTTTGCAAGAGCTGGAATTATTTAAAGCGACTGTTCTTAAACTGTAGTTTAATTTAAATTTTTGGTTTGTCAGTATAACAGGTTAAAACAAAACAAAACAAAACAAAAACCTGTTGCCATCAAGTGGATTCCAACTATAGCAACCCTATGGGACAGAGTTGAGCTGCCCCTTATGGTTCCCAAGGCTATAATCTTTATAAATTACACAGCTATCTCCCTTAGAGTGGCTGGTGGATTTGAACTGCTGTCCTTGAGTATTTAACCACTGTGCCACCAAGAAGTAGCTTATTAAAAATAGATTTCTAGAATCAAGACTAGACCTAGTTCTTTTCTCCAAATCCTGTGTGTATGTGTATGTGTGGGTGTTTTAAACTACATAGTGTGAATTTACCAGATCTTTAAAAAAATTTTTAGAAGATCTTAAGGGTGACTAGTGGTAATATCTCACTTCTCTCCCTTTAGATAGAATTCTTTAGAGGCAGTTGTGAGTAGATTGTCCCTTTTGTTTTCCATTATTTCTTTGTAAGGATTGAGGATATTTTAAAGTAGTAAAAAATTGAAGCTGAGAATCAACAGTTGAGAATCTGTTACAGATAATCCCCAACTTACACATGTTTGTGTTATGATGAATTGGAGGTTTTTTTTTTTTTTTTTTGGTACATCTTACTGTTAGTAAGATGTACGTTGTACAGTGTTGTAGTGCATAATTTGCTGTTGTTATTATTCTCAGATACTGACTTACAGATGTTCAGTGTAATGATATATAAAAATACTGATAATAGGCAATAATAATGAAAACTAAAACAACAAAAAAGAGGTATTCAATTTACCTGGACAGAAGAGCAGTCAGCCACAGGGATCCAGGTGAGGAGAGGCAACTCAGGCACGCCCAAAGCAGCAGGGTGGGAGAGTGGGAGCAAGGGGATTAAAAGGCCCAGGAATCTGGACAGAGGAGGAGTCAGCCGCAGGGACCCAGGTAAGGGCGGTGCGAGAGGTTTCCAACAGGGAGACAAACTTGTCTGTTGGTTTGTCCTACCGTGGTGACGTGTTGATGTGAGTTTTGAGGCTGAGCCACTGGTGTTTCAAACCCAGCGGGATGTATATGGTGCACAGGTATCAGCCCAGCGTACAGACTGAGACAGACTAGGAAGAAGGAGGAGGCCATCCACTTCTCAAAGACCTGGCCAGGGAAAATCTTATGAATAGCAAAGAAACACTGTTTGATACATTACGGTGCAACTTTATGAATAGTCCAGTTAGGTTAGAAGACTCTTGCAATAGGACTGGGAAAGAGCTGCATCATCTGAGTAAAGCCAGCTTTACTCCCATGGATAAGGTAAAGCTTTTGAGACCTCCATTTGCTGATGTGGCACCACTCAAATTGAAGAGAAACAGCTGCAGACATCCATTAATCAT